TACTTTTTGCGGAGACGCCTCAACTTTTCGTTGTGGTGCCACAGGTGGTTTGGGTTGCGGAACTGTTATCTCAATAAGATCGTCGTCTCTGACTGTTTGATCCTCGGCTACTGTAGCTTGACGTTTCTGTTCAGCTTCAGCCACGGCTTGTTGTTTGCGTTTAACTAGCATACCTCCTCCCCATGTTTGAGGTACGAACTCTGGGTGGAGAAGCATGACGTCGAGCAGAATGTGCTTCGCCTGAAATAGCGTGACTCTCTTAAATATGCTCTCCATAGAGTTGAAAGCAGTGGGTACGATGATGGGAGGCCGGGCGAAACAGGGTCGCTCATCGGTGGAGAAGGTTCGAGAGGCACCGGAAAGGATTAGAGGATAACACCTATCACCAGGGTGACCAACGGTCGTGGATTTCCTCATGGCTCTGTACTGTGCGCGGAGAGCACAGACGGCTCGCGCATGGCGAGTGTGAATGTCGGCGCGAGAGAGCGTAAGTGATCAGGCGAAAATCCTCGACAATGCCGTTGAGGAATCCTCGACCGATATTCACCCTGCCCACCAGCGCGGATGTGCACTGGGATCAGGGTCAACCGTCCGTTGGACAAAGTCCAACGAGGGGTGGGGGGTCGTATTTGGGGGTGGAAAAGAGGGGGTCGTATTTCGCGAGGTAGCGTCAATGTTACAGTAAGGGAAGGGATGATTTTCATGGAACGGAGAGCGGTTTAGGTTGCCCCCCCCGCTCGACGGCAATTTTGGAAGAAGAAGTGGGCGGAGTTGGCGGCAGGGGGGTCGTAAAATTTTCGAAGGTGGTCCAACGCGACGGTTGACCCTGACTGGGATCGCCTCTAAACCCATTTTTCCTTTGACGCCCTTCTGTGCTTCGCTTCTGGGTCATTGCATCTATTACCTTCCAGAGAAGACGTTTGATCAAACCTGGGCCGTGGCGCACATTTGGAGATCCCACACAGAGCAGTGGAAACAATGAAATGCGCCCTAGGCCTATTCCTGGTCTGGCAGAAGTTTGTATTACGTCTCAAGTCAGTACTCCCCCTTAGATTTCCCCCTTCTCAGGAGCGGCGCATTGCTACGAAGCACGATAGATTGCATTCATAACGGGTGTTCCACACAGGCTGTGCGAGCGCGACACAGGATTTCCACTCGCTGTGCTGCCTGGGTGGAGGTGGTTGTAGCAGAAGCTACCAAATGACCTTTATAACTAACCTTAGCTGTATCTAGAAGGAATATCCGAAGTTCGTTGTCGACGACGTCATCGAACATATCCGGTCGCATCAGTATCGTATCTATCGCGTCATGACAATCTGAAGTATTCATTGCATCATCCTTAGAGGGATTAACAAATATACATTAGTTAGCGCTCTCACAATTAGTGACTGCAAAACCTCCTTCCATGATTAACATGGACATGTCAACAGGTTTCTAAGAGCATCGCTATTGCAACACGTTGAAAAGGTCGTTTGAGGAGAGGTGAATGGAATAAGTCAGGTTGATCTTCTTTAAACGTGGCTATATGGTCAGTCTTTTGACGTTTAGGCTTAATGGCACTCGCTCACTCCTCATGTTTTCAAAAAAGATCCCGCGTTGAGGTCGAAGAGGGGCCTGGCAGGGTCAACCGTCCGTTGGACAAAGTCCAACGCGACGACGAGAGTAATGCCGAGAGTGAACGTACGCACGGAGACACAGACGGCTCGCGGGTGGCGAGAGTGAATGCCGGCGCGGAGAGCGGTGAACATCGGTCCAACGTCGCTCCAATATCGGTCCAACGTAACGGTTGACCCTGGCGAAGTAGGCGCCTGGGCATCCAGTTGTTGTGTTGTCCAACAACGAATATGTTCTGAACGCGCAATATTGTCCGTACCGCCGCTACGCTTCCGCCTTACATCCTACCAACTTTTTGAGTAATAGCAGAAAGCTGTTGGAATGCTGCTGGCTGTTATCTGCACGGTTTGCTTTTTCATTTCAAAGGACACTTCATTTCAACGGTTGATCTTTATTTTGTTCATGTAATGCTTATCAAATAAGGATATGATTGATGATATGATACCGTCGACCGAAGATTTACTACTGTAGCGAGCCGTCTCTGTATTCGTGGCCAGTTCCCGGTAAGTTGAGGGACAGCAATCCGGGTCCTATATTATTGGTGGCCGTTTTTCCTTGATTTTTTCCATCATCATCTTGCACTTTGCCGCATTCTCTGGCAACGATAAGCGGGCAAGCGCATTCTAAGGGAAATTCTGCTTATTAATCACCAATGGAAGGTGTCGAGAAAGGTCTGCATACTGAAAGATTCTCCGTTTTTGTAGTTTGCAAAACAGAATCCGTCGAGCCGGATTCGAACCAGCGACCTAAGGATAGCTGCGACTCTACAGTCCTCCGCTCTACCAACTGAGCTATCGACGGCACGAGCACTGCTGCGTAGAACCCTCCTGACAGAACATATGAAGGAGAGGACGAGGACAAGGTACCACTCGCGTAGAGAGTACTGCTGATCCTTCATAACGAGTAGGTGCTGTGAGGCAACCGCAATGAAGAATGGTCCTACGGAGCTACAGAATAACACGCCTCGAGTCAAGATTCGAACCTATGTATCTCCAGGTAGATGCTACTCGCTCACCGCTTTACAACCATACCGTTGTCCTCATGAACGTACGCAATTACGACTAAAGCGCCGACTGCCGATTGAGCTTGATATAGAGAAGGTGGAGACACTTAAGATCATCGGATTTTGCGACGGGGCAGGATTAGCGCCTTAACAAAGAAGAAGAAGATGTGCCAATGACAATTTCTGGAAACCAAGTTTTGTTTTGCGTCTCCCGGCTGTTCAGCTGCTTCCTTTTTCTATGGCGAGTCTGCTACTATTCACCTTGGTTTTTGGGTCAAATTACCTATTTTTCCATTTTGGTGACTTAAGTTGCAAAGAGCCGCTCTGTTGAAAAGTTTACCGTTTGTGTTGGCTTCTGATCAGCAGCTCCAAAAAATTCGCACAACGTCGTTCGTTCGTTGTTGTACAGAGTGTCCTCCAATAGGTGATTCCGTTGCATGATTCCCAGACCACGTAATGCAACCGCTTCTTGTTGTTGGGTCTGAAAACTTTCTATTTCTCTTTCTCAACTTCTCTATTGCCTTTTTTCTCAGTGTACAGTTATTTTGGTGCTAAATGGGTTGATGTGAATAGCTGTCGAAAGTGCGCTACGTGAGGGTCGCGCGGTCAGGAAAGTATTGCGACGATCAAACGGAGCAAAAGCTCTTTCAGTATGCTGTGAAGCAGCCGAAACCAGTCACACCTCATTGTTTCTACTTGACTGGTGCCAGATTTTGGTCGAGTCAACGACTACTCGCATAGCGAATGGCTGGATTCGCAACGTCTGACAAGGCCATTAAACGTACATATTGAGTTGTCACGCTTACCGGTTTCTCCTCTTCTTTTTGTTCTTCAGCCGCACTGGATTTCTTGAGAAACTCGTTGAGCGTCATGAGCTCTTCAACCTTCTGAAAAACATTGCTGAATAAATATAAGTTGGCTGGCGAACTGTCTCTTAAACACAAAAATAGTGTCACGTGTACAGTTTTGCGGCAAAATCCGGACTCCCGTGATGGAACTCGGATGGCACAGGCGACGTGCATTCCAACAAGACTGAGGTATTAATGCCATAAGGCACCATGGCTCCCCCAGGTCACCAATTGATCCTATCGCAAATCGCTTGCTAATGCTCCCTTCACTTCGCACTGAAAAGGGTTTATTTTGGCCATGTCCGACGGTTTTCCGCGTTTCTCACTCCACCCTCTCCATCTGTTACTCAATCAAGGGCATCACAGGGCCCAATACTTGCCCGTGATTTTGCCTTGCATGATGACCACGACGCCGTTAAACAGAAACCCTTTTTCAAAATCTGAGCACTTGATAAAAATAGTTTTAATTAGCGACCGCCTCTCTCGAGAATTTTGTAAAAGTCACCTTGCTTTTCCTCTCGTAATTGTTTTTTCAACCGTTTCATTTGCAGCTTCAACTTTCTATTTGCTAATTCCAGTTCTTCGATTCGAATGATAAGTATTCTCACTTCAAGTGAGAGCGGTTTCCTGACGATAATATTACGGTGAGCTTCAATATTCCTACACAAATGAATGAATCTCCAGAAAAAATCTTGGAGCTCATTTTAAGACAAAGCCTGTCGCCAATCACTTAACCCTATTTGCTCAAAAGCATTCGAGACTTGTAACTACAAAAACAGAAAATCATCTTTTCCCGGAGACGTTTAGGCTAGATTTTTGGCTGAAAAAAAAAAATAAATAATCACGTTTGCGACAAAAAACCACTAGTTCCTTCAAAAGATGAAAGTATCCTGGGCCCTCAGTTAGGAAAAATCAACTGTCGGAAGCACAGATGTGATAAAAACGGCTTTGCTGTTACGTGGATATGTACTACATGAGAGATCCTAATGGCGGCCGTAGTTCACTGAGCTTCTGTCATGAAAAGGTAATGCGTAGTTTGAAAACAGTAGAGCAGCTTGGTGGGGTTCCCCCCTTTAATTTGCTAAAGCGCTTTTTGAGAGCAAAGAAAGAAAAATGCATGGTTGATAGTGTGCGCCGTTGTAAGCTCCCAGACATCACTACACTACGCTGAATCGCCAACGTCTAACGGTTGACGGAAGTCCTGAAACCTGTGCCGAAGGAGGGCAGATGCATGGCGGTGAACGGGACGCAGACAATCCTCCGCATGGATCGTTATGATTTGAAAAACAATAGAGAAAACGCCTCGATTCCTCTGTGACGCGCTATTGTGTCGCGAACAGCAAAGTTGTCTAAATCTACGCCCAAAAGAAAGGCTCTACCTCATCACGGAATGTAAGTTTATCACCCATTCGGTCAAATGTGCTCTACTCCAGCCACGTTCCCGTGCATCTTTTTTATTCCCAGAGACCCTACTGAATCACTGGAGCTCCATTGATGGACACTTACCGCGGCTCATACCAACTTCTGCGCTTTGTGCGTTCTGTGCACTCAAGCCAGCCTGAATTGCTGTGTTTAATGATGAAGTCACCTTCGGTCACAATTGGCGATTGCACTTTTATCGTGCTATTAAAATTGGTGGCATTCATCATAAAGAGCGGTCAAGACGTTCTAATCATATATCGTACTTCACTATTCTTGTAAAGCAAGAAAACATGGGCCAAAGGATGTATGAAGAACTGGTTGTGCTATCCATACATATGATGCCGGGGTCAAGTCTGGGGTCGGAACCCGGCCTGATCAACAAAGTCTTGCACTTCACCGCAGTCGGTCAAATGGTAGCGAATCGTTCTATGGTTTAAAAACACCGAATTCTAACGTCAACTGTCCTCCCCAAGTCTTGCCAAGTTGAACTCGAAATTCAACTGTTAACTATCGCTCTGAATAGAGCATAGTGGTGCTGGCTTATTCTGAAAAGCTTATCGAAAAGTCCGGCGACTCATCGTCCATGAAATACCGAACTTAAATGAAATCTTCGAATGTGATGAGCACATACGTCTAGCTAGCATCGACTGCTGTGTGATCAGTTCGATGTCCTACCGCACCCACATTACAAATTTAATGGATTGCGATGGCTGGAGGGCGGCACGGTTTTGATGATGTCATTAAACCTCACTGGTGGATTGCGTAGCAATTTCAACCGCATCCCCAGCGCGCTTAGGGGTATGATCCATCAAATACGTTCAATGGTGTCCGTCAATCCCACAGCTCCAGGTATCTCGGATCACTTGCTTGAAGCGATCAAGCAATCTATAGCAAGTATCGGCTTCCGGTGCTACTCGCTCACCACTTTTCTTGTCTTCTGGAGTGAAACGAGTAAACACTGTAGTTGAAGGAAAGGACGCGCATAGCTCATTTTTAAGAGTGTCTGCTTAGTGTCCCTCTACTTTTCCCCTTTGTCGGACAGCAGCACCCACAACGCCACTGCGCCTTGTGTCTGCAGTAGTGCCCATGTATGCCTTCTGGCAACAAGTCCCCCTCGCCCAAGCCTCTTGCCCTCTGAAATATGCCGCGCACAGGGTCTTTGATGTTTCTCACCCTTCTTTTGATTTGTGCAACTTTATCCTGTTCCTGTGATCCTGATGACCCCGGTTCTGATGATGAGGCGTCCTCTACCAATTCGTCGGCTTCTGAAAGCAATCGAACAAAGTTAGTAATATTATAGTCTGGAAATGAATTATAAATCGTCTACGCTTATCAGTAAGCGCTTCAGGCCTCATTCTCTACTAGGCGTAATGATATAAGATAATGGAAACTTCGACGCTCGCGCAGGAAGAATTCGTATATTAACACATTGACGACCGCGCGCGTTTTGGCTTTTTTGGCCGTGTGGGACCGGGCCGATTTTGCGAGTGCGACCGCCGCACCTCGGATCCGTGAATTTTTATTGATAACTTTTTAAAGCACCAGTGGTACAAAAACATCTCAGTAACAGTCAATGCGTAGAAGGTAATAGAGTATATAGTGACGAAGTTCCGATTAAAGAACATGTAATGGTAATGAAAAAGGAAATTTTAGTCATTTTATCTGTAGTGGATGCCAAAAGCTCTTTTGATGTGGTTATACCAAGTGAAACATGTATTTTTCTGTCTCTTTAGATTTGCATTTACTTTCACTACCCTTTTTTATTGACGTGTTCATGAGAATAGCATGAAAACTATTAATGAACCAAGCCGCCGTTTCGGTGAGCTTGGAAAACTTCTTCTAAACTGGAGCATATTTGAACAAACAATGACCTATGTCGTTCACAATAATGTTATGTTCTAATCCATAGAAGAGAGACAAACAATTCGGGAAAAAGCTGCGCATGCCCTAGAAAAAGGGATGATAAGGGTGAGACGCGGTAACGCGTCTCAATGTCCAACGAGGTGCGCAAAGTGAGACGCGTTACCGCGTCTCAATGTCGTCAATGTGTTAATTCCCGCTATCACTCGTTGCGCACTTGTTTTTTTATTTTCGCTAATCTATACTTATCCTTTCCCTTTGGCCTAATCGTTCAAGCCTAGTTACCTTGCAATCTTGAACCATGAACGTCGCCCTAACAAGTACACCAGTGAAAAACAATTTACAATTTATTCTGTTTTTCTCGGGAACGGAGGCAATTATTAATTTTTGTATACTCTATAGTGTCGTTAGCAAATTTGTTATATTTTTTATAAATCGTTGAGAGATGTATTTTTGAGTTCCCCTCCCCCTTATGGAAGATTAAGCGACCCACAGATCAGCAAATGACTTTTCTCCTTTATCGGCTCCACGTGCTGACACTTCGAGAGGATCCTTTTCCTTTTCTCTCGTTTTCCACCTGAATTATGATTAAAAGGGACTAAGCCACTCAGCAACTCTTTGAATACATCAAGTGACTAGTCATGGATGTACCATCATAATTTGAGAATGACGTTCTGGTTTTTGGTCCATTTACTGACAGGCAGCATCAGAACCGACACTAGCGGCAAAAAAAACCAGAGAAAATCACAAAAAAACGCTTGTGCGTGGGCGGTGCGGCTTTCAGATTTGCTGTCCAGACCTGTGCAAAAACAATCGGCCACCTTTCGCTCCAAAAACGGTACCCCTCAATTCGTCAGCTAAGACTATCGCTTCCAGTGGCGCGGAGATAGACCTTCCTCTGTGAACCAATTCATCGTAGTCACTGCCCTTGAGGTCGTGCTGCCAGCCCTGCCACCTGCTTTGCGATGCACTAAAAAAGAACGGTAACGTTGCCTTTAGTAACTAGTAGGTTCAGTGGATTTTTATAAAGTAGTTATGAGCGTAAAAATCGACATGTTGAAGTAGAGAGGTGGCGCCGAAGCCGTCTATGTTTATTGTGTTGCTATTTTGTAATTCTAATTCTCTCCCTTGTTTCTCGCTGATACTTTTTTTGGAGTTGCGCCACGTATTCGACAGCAACTGTAAGTCGTACGCTTACAAAATGTCATTGGAATTGAAAAGTGAACTGTATGGTTCGGTTTTATTACTGCATCATTTCTGATACCTCGAGGATGGGGAGGGTGAGATTTCATGCAAAAAGCTGGCATGTGATACTGTGATGAGCTTGACTTCCTCACAAATACCTGATTCGAGTCACCGTGAATGCACCACCAGCGCATAAGCTGGAGGCATTTACTTGAAGGTTGAACCGTACAATCTTACTTCAGTTTACGCGTACGCATCTTGGTTGCAGCTGGACGAGCGACAGCGTTCACATTCTCGAATTGCTCTTGATCCTCAGCTTTTCTATAGTACTGAAAGTATAATACTGTGTTACACTTTTTAGGACAAGTTCAAAAATTTGTTGCAACAGTGTTTTTGAAAGTTGATCACTTACTTCCTCGTCCCTTTCGCTTATTCCTGCAATATTGGCCATTGTATATGAGAAAAAGCATATAACTGGAAAAAAAGAAAAATTTTCCCGCCTTCATGGAAGCGGCGGCCACACTTAAATTCTCGCCCTTGGAAGGAAAACATCTATGAGGATTCCACGATAAGGTTGAAGGTCGAACAAGGGGAAACATCATTAAGTGGAAAGACATGCACCCCTAAGGTGTAACCGACACGCAATTTTGCATCAAAGGATATTGCCCCTGGCGATCTATGCATGCTCGACGCCGCGCTTTTGGCGTGCGACTACGCTCATCGACTGAATAAACCACCGCGGGTTTCTAGCCGTTTAGCAGAGAGAGCGTTAGCGTTAGATGGGCAGACTCATAGGAGTCGCTTCAGTGCGGAAATCAACTTATGTCCAATGATTCATGGGTTTAATGCTTCTCGTTACTTTGGGCTAATTTTTTTTATGGTTTTTTTTTCTATGATCGTCGCACCGTCTGACTTTACTACTTCAACGCTTGGTTATTCTCATTAAGTCGGTCTCTATATTTTATCATTTTCTCCTATCCTTAGTCTTATCGACTAGAGCTCTAAAATGAGCATTTGCTGTGGTGTATTGTTGATGATCCATTTTTTTTTTTTTTTATATTCTTTGTTGACCATGCCTATTGAGTGCTGAAAGTTATTTAGGAGTTCTAGGTCTCTGTGTTCCTCTTTTTTGTCCGCCCGCTCGTTGGTTCGTTCCCTGACCTTACTTTTGTCGTTATGTACTCTGTCATTGTATTCATATTGTGCTTTTTAATACTGCTCTGCTTTTCTCTTCAAATTCGTTATCTGTATTCTCTCTTTGTGCGCCAACTAAACCTCTTACCTTGCTATCTGGCCTTTGAACTATTCATTCTGCGTCCCTTTGGACCATTCATTGCGTCGAAAAAAAGGCCCCTGTCAACAAGGCTCTCGATGGTTTCTTATCCTTTTTCTTGAAGGCAAACCCCAGGATAGAACTGGTGTATAACAGTGCTCCGTAGTGGGTGATCTGCAGAATGGACTGAAAGTGGACTGGAAAGCAAGGTAAATCATTCCAAAGTGCTAAGAGTAGGGTCATAAACTTCACTACGGTCGCATGTGGTACGAGACAGGGCGATCAAAGAAGACAAACACGCGAGAGAGCACGCCATTCGAGAGAGCACGCTGATCTCACATCAATCGCGGTGGGTGGGAAGCGTTGCAACGGGGGTCGATGGTTGCAGGCCCGTAAGGATTAGCGCCCTAACCGCGCAATTTTGCGACGAAGCTGGAGTGATCTATGCGGGTACGGACCTCACAATTTCCTTACGGTATCCTTCCTACTAGTCGGGCTAATCCCGGGGCTTGCCTTTGAATAGTGGGCCATACTCGTACTGTTGCAAAACGTGTCGGGGTGATATGCTCGATTTAGGAATGCTGTAAATGCGGGCACGCAATTATTGCTATGACGCTGATCTCTTCATTTTTCACACATTCGGCTTGTCTTTCGGCTTAGTTGAGACTGGTAGGGAGACATTGGGGAAAGAAATCTCTTGTGCGCTCCGGATTCTTCCGCGACGCCCATGCGTACACTGCATACCTACCGTACGCCAAAAGCGAGCATATCACCTGTACCAGTTTACCCCTTGTATTATTTTCACATTCGAGCGTTACTACCGCTTGATCGGGCGGGAAAGGGGAGAGGGGTGGGTGCATTTAATATAACAGAACCTACCGTATTTGACCCTAATATTGTGACGTTTCCTCTCAGATGCCGATTTCTGCTCAGTCGACATTTCCGACTCCTCCGCCTGCAATTGACGAAGTTTTGCACATTTCGGATGAACACAACGAATTCCGTGCAAAAATCATGCACCACGACCGAAATGGCTTACTCACCCGTTGTGATGGATCGCAGTGCAATGAACTGTCTGAAATAAGAACAGGCACTATTACAAGGGGGATAAGTTATCATTCCTTTATCATCTCTATATTGTAAACCATTTCTTGTATCGGTTTCTGTCGATCTGTTCGATCCTTAAATGTGTGTAGGAGAACTGGGAAATCAGCCAATTACTAATTTGGATTCGACGAATGCCACCAGCCGCGCGAGTTAACTTTGCGGTCATTAGGGACGAAGTTTACGATGGAAAGGGAGACCAAGAGAAATGAGGTAAAGGGGACTGGTGGTGCAGGGGTGAAGAAAACTATGAGAAGGGACACCTTGCCCGTTGATTTCCGCATTGGTGCGGCACTCGTCTGTGCCAGGGTCGACAGTCGCATTCGCACTTTTCCGCAAATTTTGCGACCCCTGTTTCTTAAGGGGGTCCCGACGCGACCCCCACCACTACCATTAGACTTATGGTTAGGAGGCTCCCCCAAACCACCCTTCCTTTCTAACCCCACAGCCACCCTCGACCATCATGGCTGTTTCTATAGTATTTGATTCTGAAACCAGTCGACACAGCACAACTCCGCCCACTTTTTCATCCAAAACGGCCATCGAGTGGGGAAGGGCAGGGTAACAATGAACCGGCAGATCCTCAAATTTTGTCCAATTCACGCTACTTTCGTAGAACCTTTACCAAGTTATTCAAAAAAAACCCGTCCAAGTGGCGACCCCTTTTAACGAGCTTCGTTCGCACTTCTCCAAAAATCTTTTAGCAAAAGCATGGGAAGTTTCTCTGGAAGAGTCTTTTCGCTTGTGCTCGCATGGACATTTGGCGTATTACAGTAGAATCTCGTTGGGACATTGGAGTTTCTCTAGTTTCTGCATGGGAGTTTCTCTGGAGGAGTCTTTTCGCTTGTGTCGCTGGGACATTTGGCGTACTCCAGTGAGAAATCTCGCTCGAATGCGCCATTAATTGTGGTGCAGTGTTGGCTTAAAGTCTGTCCTCCTTTGCCACTTATCGTTAGTCAAGTTTGAAGATGCTATGCGTTGACACCCTCAAATTTTATGATTGGTACTTGAGGATACGACCCCCACCTCCGTGAGAAAAAATTATCCCTTCTTTGTACTTTGCGCAAGGGAACGGGCGGGTGACCCTGCTTGTTAGTAATGGTAGTGTGGGCAAAAATGGACGATGAAGAAAAAATTGGAAGAAAAACAAATAAAGTCGAAGAGTCGCAAGTCAATGGAGGATCCAGTTATCAAGTTCGCGTGGCCCACAATATCTAAGCAAATTTGACTAATTTATGACTGGTTCTTAACTTGGAAGACTGCTAGATCAGTAATAGTAGCTTCTTTTTGAGGGGCTGAACGCATTTCCTTTCCAGCGAGAATTTTGATTGGCACCAAAATTTTGGCCACCAACCTGTCGTATTATTAGTGGCGTACCAATGCTTGATGTAGAGAGGGATGCCGGCGTAGCCCGATCAAGGGGTAGTCCAGCGACGCGTAGCTAAAACGGTCAGCCGCAATGTTTTTTACCAAATAAATACCACTACTTCTTGCACAGGTTTTTCATGTGAAAAGAGATCCACTTTCACTCCAAACTCACCTGGTGGCCTGTTGTCACGCTTTACATTGGTAGCAGGACGCTGTCCTGAAGATGTTGCTTTTGCTGATGGTAATGATCTGGTTTGTGGAGACGGCATCGTCCTCGGCTGTGGTGACGGTACAGTCCTTGGTCGTGGTGATGGTATCGTTCTAGCTTGTTTTGGCGCAGCTTCCACAGTCTTATCTTCTTCCTCTTCTTCTTCCTGTACGAATTGTGATGATTTTTTCCATGAAGGGAAGTCCCTATTCATAGTTCTTAAAGGCGGCGTTTTATGAAAAGACAGCTCAATACAAATCAAAGCAGTTGTTCGGTAATGCAGCGATCGAGACAAATCAAGAAAAGTCGTCTAGAACCCGAAAAGTTGGATTCCTCTCTGCTGTTTACGCGTTAAGCCAGTCTCTTTGATGTTGAACTTATGAACGCTGACGCTTTCTTCTGCGAAAGCACTAGAGGCGAGGGGTCACCCATTGCTGTGGTGCAGCGAATTTAGGGCTTAGGTTCTGATTTTGATAGATGGCTGTTGTTGATAGATGTAGGATGTAGATAATGACGGAAATCTTACCGATTCTTCTTTACGGCCGGTTTGGAACCGTCGAAACATCTCTCGTAACTTCCGACTACGTCTGAGATCCGACATGGCGATTCTCCTGCTGTAGGCAAATTGATATATTATACTTAGTTCCAGGAATATACATGCAGGACCCTCCTTAATTGTGTGAACCAGTGACCGTATACTCATTTCAGCAAATGAGTGAGCGTGTCTACAGACTTGTTGCTAAGCGGACAGCAGGATAGAAGTCGCAAGGCTGTTTTCAGCTGCTTTTTTGCTGTTTTCAGTACTGCTTCATCCTGGTGGGCTTCCTTGTCGAGGGGTACAGCCCATATCGCCGTCAGAGTAGGCGTGTTTTGGACATGACGTGGCTGCAGCCACACTTCATAGAGTAAAATTATTGATTTTGTATATAATTGAGTCATTCAGTTTGTAAAACCAAAAGTTGTTTTTGGATCTCAATATTGTTTATGTACTTTTGCCAAAATTTTATTTAGGGGTGGGATCATAGAAGTCGCGTGGATAAGCTGTTTCAACAATCCGCTGGAAATCAGCAAAACGTGCTAATAGAAACAGCTCATCCACGTGACTTCTATCAAGCGCCACGTCATCTCCAGTGACGCACCTACTCAGACGGGAGGTAAGCAAACCAGCCCTTTTGGCGTTCGGCTGGGACCGTATGCTGAATGTTGGGGAGGGGATGGGGTCCCCGACGGTCGACGGACTACTTCAACTCGGTCGGTACGATAGCAATGACGCAA